TTACTGGAGAAGGCTTTGTTGTGCCAGAGGAGCATAGTTGTTGACCACAGTCTTCATCCTAGCATTTTAGGTGGTCTTTTAAACATCCTGGGCCCAGATCATAGAGCACCTTGAAGATAAGAATCCCTCACCAAATCTTGTCACTTCTCCTATAACAGCTCTGAAACCCACTGGATCCACTACCAAAATTTTAATTCATGCTTTGGTCGTTTCTAACCTCACCACTGCAATCTCTTCTTTGGCTTCCATCTTCTCAGCTTTCCCCCTACAATCTCTTCAGCATGCTACATCTCAAACTCTCTTCCAACCACATCACCCCCTCCACTGGTTCCTTCTGCATTTCTGCTATCTCATTTCTCACACCCAGATCCCGCCTCATCTTTCATTACATTTATCTATTTTAGGGCCCAATCCAACTCCCATTGAACTCTGAATAGGCACAGAGGCCAGATCTGATAAGCCAATTTTATATAGCTGTTTTTTACTTTAACATCTTGTCGATATTAACAGAGAACCACATTTTACTATTCAGTTTGCATTTAGTTTACTGACTATGAAAATTCAGGTAACAATGCAAGTTGTAATTCGTCTATTTTTCTTTATGAGTAGATGTAATTATAGAATTACATCATTCAATTTTAACATTCTCATGAATTGTATTAAGTCCCTGTGATGGGGTATCTGCCCCACACTGGCAGAAAAGGGGTTAAAAGCTACCTGAGGAAGGCTGTGCAGGAGACAGCCAATCACAGAAGGGCTTATAGGAGCAGCCAATCAGGGCTGGGCTGGCCCATATAAGACAGGCTGTAGACCAGAGCAGAGTGAGTTGCTCCCTGGAGCTTGAGAAGGGAGGAGAATGACTGGTTGCCTTGCAGGTGGAGGGCAGCAAGCACCCTGGGCAGAGCAGTGCTGCAGCCAGAGACCCAGGGAGCTAAAGGCAGCTCCTGACAGGCTGCAGGGATCTGCAGACTGAGGCTCTGACGCAAGGGCAAAGAGGGAGCTGGAGCCACTGAAGGAAGTGACTAGACTGTGGACTGCAGTTTGCCACTGAGTGGAGTGGCTGGACAGTGACTGTGGGTCCCCTGGAAGGGTGGGACCATGGAGTGTGGCACAGCCAGAGTGCAGTGTCACTGAAGAGGATACTGTGGTCCTGGGAGTGATCCAGGAACAGAGGTGACAGTGGGCAAGACACCACCAGATGCAGTGCTAATTCCCTGGACAGCCAGCAGGAGGTGCTGCAGTAGTGAGTCATGCAATGTCACAGTCTCTAAAAGGAACAGGCCTTAGCATGTTTTGAAATTTTGGCTGAAATCTAAAAAGAAAGAAAACAGAGGGGGGAAATATATATATATATATATATATATAATATATGAACATAAATCTGAATCTTCTCCATTATCTATTAGAAGTTACACCTTACGATCAAATCCTTCAGTGTTACTCTGGCCAAACTCCCATTGATTTCAGTTGAACATTCCTGTAGTGGGTCTTGCCTGAATAAGAACTGCAGGATTTGGCTTATTGAGAGCAACTTCTTTGCGATTGTTTGCAGCTTAAATGCAGAGATAGCTAGCACACAATAAGGAAGGACAAGCAGCATTGCAGCAACTCCTTAGCATGGTGAGTCAGTCTAGTTGTACTAAAAAGTTTCTCCTGGCTTTTACTTCCCTTGGACATATGCTATTCGAGAGGCTGCAGTTTCATCTTGATCATTAGCCTCAAAATCATACCCTGTTTCTGGAGCAGGGCTACATTTTTTTTTAATGTAGTGCATAGGATATTAAGTGTAAGAGCTCTGTTAGATAGTCAGAGTTATGAGCTGCATTTGACCCATGATGCACTTCTGAGGACATTAGCTTTTAACTTTTTTTTTTTTTAAATGGGGCTTTTTTCTCATTAATTATCACATGGACCTGCAGTCCTAGCAATGCTTGGCTGTACTTTTGTCTTGCAGAAGTACACACTTATCTTTTGTAGATGAACTCAGAAGTCCAGACAGAAATATGGAATGCTAAGGACTATGGGTGAAATTTTCAGGAGTGCCTCACTTATGTGTTCAAAATGTTACCCCACTTCCTTGTGTGAAGCCAAGAAGTGCTTAACACAAAGTTGTGGGTATGAGGGTAAAGGTACCCTTTGCAGCCCCCCAAACCGAAATCTGCTCTGCAATTTGACAGCTGTTACAACTTTCACCGGCTACCAATGGCCCCAAGAGGCTATTACAGCACCAAGGTCCCCCCTACCCCCACCCCAGGGTGGAGATTCCCTGGCCATGCCCTCTTTCTCCTTGTCATTCTCTCTGTCCTGGCCAGCTGTTGGGAGTGGCATAGGCATAACTACAGTGACTTTACCCCACCTGAGGATCTCCATAACCAGCACAGATTCCCTGGGGTCACCATGGTCACCAATTCACTGGGTTTAGGGCCATGTTGTGCCAATGGAATGGCCCAAGATTAGGACCTAAAAACTTTAATTTATCTACAGAACAGGTACAGTGTGTACACCAGAAACATGCACTCCATGCCACCCTATTAAAGTGCGCCTCAACTGGATGTGAGAAGACTGAATGGACATTGAGACTGAGCAAACTTCTTTCTCTCTCTGCTGAGAATGCCAAGAAAAATACCATAGTGATGGTGATTTTTGCATTGAAGATGCTTGTCTACTGGGACTTGACTACAAAGACAGCTCATTTAACAAAGCATTGAAAAGACAGCAGATGGTAAAGAACTTTCAGTCTCTACCAATCTCTTCTAGGCTTTTAGACCATGTTCATATTGGCTAGCTTTGAACCACTGATCTAGAGAGAGAGGTTCCTGTTCCCATCATTAAACCTGTGTCAAGTATTGTGAAGTTTGCCAAGAATTATCTTGGTTTTCCCCAATTTTGAAGTATGACAGGTTGTGCAAACACCAGCCTGGAAAAAAAAGGGATTAAGTAGCTGCTCTGGCCTCAGGTGCTCACCCTACCTGCAAAGCGCACACAGCTGGACGAGGAGCTCAAAAGGGGAACAGGCCGGCTTAGTAGAGGAGCAGACAGTGAAGGGAACTGACTACACTCTGAGCTCTTGGGAAGGAGCAGTGAGAGAGGTCCTGTTGCCTGAGGCTCTGGTTGCAGAGACTATACCAGAGCCATAAGGGAGAGACTTGCAACACTCAGAAGATCTGAGACTTTACCTTTGATGTCAGTTATTTACTGTTTATTACTTCACCTGTTGGGAAAGAGGGGACTGGTAAGAAAGTGATCCAGGGCGGCAGTAGGATAGCTCTTTTGGGCACAGGGCTTAGAAAGGGTAGGCCCAGGTTCCCCTACCACCAGGAAGGCAGAAGGCATAAACCCTACTCCTAACGGGGGGAGAATCTGGGCAAGGGAAGATCCTAAAGGCCTATCACCTAGCCAACAGGGCTACCCCATTAGGACTCTTTATATAACTGCAAAAGGGGGGGACAGAGAGGTATGACCTAGGCAGAGGGTTGGAGTGGCTGTCACCAGGGGCGGTGCCAGAGAAGAAGTAGTCTTGCTACACCTGTGCCCAACCAGAAGAGGACACCTGTGGTGAGCAGCTTCCTTCACTTTTACAAAACTATATGATGGTTACTCATGCATTTCACCCTGTTAGGGATTTAAAAAAAAAATTAAATGGGAAGCCATAACATTGTGAAAATAGCAGTATTTTTGTAATGGTAATTTTATCCTGCTTCTGTACACAACCATCAGCATAAGTCATATAATAAATAAAATATAGGTGTCATTATATTTCTTCTGCACGTGCTGCTAGAACACCATATTAACTGTTGTCTGTGTTGGCCTAGTGGGAGCTTGGAAAAAGAACAAGATAACTATACATGGAAATATTTATTTACATAATAATGAATTGATAAAACCAGGTGGGTGAGGTAATCTCTTACTAGACCAACTTCTATTGGTGAGAGAGGACAAGCTTTCAAGCCACACAGAGCTCTTTTAAGAGTTCAGAAGCATCTCTCACCAACAGAAGTTGGTCCAATAAGAGATTATCTCACCCACCTTGTCTCTCTCATATCCTGGGACTGACACAGCTACAACTACACTGTATACAATGAACTGATAAACATTTAACTAATCAGTTACATTCTACAGAGCTGTATTTCTGGCTGTAAAAATATTCATTTCACAGAATAAACAAGTATTTTTATGGCAAAAAAAAATCTTTGTCATTGGTATCTACTGTAGATATACTGTGCTTTGGGTATTTACAAAAATATATGAATAAACTAATTGATTAACTAGCAATAAAACTGAAGTGCCTGTTTCCGGTATTGAACTCACTCTGATTTATTTAAACAGAAGACACTATCAGTCAGACAGAAATTTTCTCTACAGGGCTGCTTGAGTAACAGCAACACATTTGCAGATGAGCTGTTTGGTGCTAATAAGACGCTTTCAAAAATATGATAAAGAAACAGAGTAACAATTGAAATCTGTTCTCTTTCAGAGCAGTGAAATAAAGGCAGGTTATGATATAATTTATTTGATCAATTCCAATACTGCAAGTACCAAGTAAATAACATTTTAAAAAAACACTAACAAAATAGCCCTTTAATGATAGAAATCCTGTTGTGGCTATAGCCTTCACTTTTGATTAAAATGCTATCTCAGTGATTGGTAAGAAGACTCATGCACATAGCTACATTAACAGAGTGAAATGCTGGCCCCATTGAAATCTTCACGGCCATTGACTTGCATGAGACCAGGATTTCACCCACTGTAATTTGTGTAAATATGTCATCTTTTTGGCACATGCTATTTCTGTAATTAAAAATACAGGGCCAACTTCTCAGCTGGTATGCGCTGACATAGCTCAATTGGAGGGTTTTTGTGTGTATTAATTTACACCTGCTGCGAATCTGGCCCACATATTTTGTCTTAAGACAATTTATGGTCAGTCCATTAATACATGCAGAATATGGTACACTGCATTCACATACAACATTGTCTGAAAGAGCTGGTTACACAGTTACCTTTTTTACTTCATACTTAATGGCTAGTTTGACACGACTCAGTGAAGCTCTGTGCCTCTGTGTTTCAACTGGCTCAGCATCCAAATCCCCGTTTAGAATGGCTTCTACCTCTTCAGAGTCTCGGCAGAGATCAAGGACACCAACCACGAAGTCCTTGCATTGCATAGACAGCTTGCGATAGTCATTCTGAAAAGGAAGAGTTAAAAAATAATAGCCCTTGACTCACAGGATGGGTATGCTTAGTAGTTGACAGTAAGGACAAATTACTGAAAGTTTAATAGTGTCATACTTATATTGCACTTTACATACTGTGAATCTCTAAGTATTTTACAAATTTATATAATACTATATTATATATTACAATCACTTCACTCTCTACTAAAAGGCAACAGACCACCTCTGAGGTGGCAACTGTTTAACAGTGCACTACAATACTACACAAAGGTTTAGGACAAGTGAAGAAGAATCCTGAATCAAAATGAAAGTGCTAAGGAACTGTCAATGGTAAAATGGAATTGCCCAAATTGGAGACCAGAACCCTGGACTTATTAACCTTACTTCTGCAAAAAATGCCAATGTATCTTTAAGTGCCAGATACATTCTACAGAGATTGCCATTTGGGCTGCAAGATCTAATTTCTGTTCCTCCATCATTGCTAAAGGTGCTGATAATCCTTGTTCTTACTTTTCTTTTTTTTCTCTATTCCTCTCCCCCACCCATCCTTTCCCCAGCATTTGTTAGAATTCCAAATTGCCATAATTTGTAACAGTATCTTCTCCAGCACTCCCTAGATACCTTTCCCTTCCTTTCTTCTCCCTTCTCTCCTATGTACCTCCTGCATATGTCTGATACAAACCAGTCCCTTCACAAAACTATCTACCTTGTTAATACCCTGTCCTTTCCTCTCATTTGTTCATTTTCCTCCACTGTTTCTCCCTCCACTACCATTACTGTCAATAATTGCTCTGTCTTTATTACCTTCCGCAAGTTTCTAAAACGTGTCACTATCTGCCCACCTTCTTAAAAGAACCTTCCCTTGATTCAGAGACTTTTTTTAAAGCTCCCTGTACTGGGAATTAACACTGTGTTATCTGAACTAGTTTTAAATGTAGTTTAACACAATTTAAACATGGTTTGCCTGGGTACTGTTGTTTAGAACAGTGCTCTAACCTTTTTACCTCAGCTGCCCATTGCCTCTATCCTCACGGCATAGATGGGGCCTCATTGTCCTAACTTCTCTTTTTCTCAAAAGCACTTGAAAAAGTAGCGTTTTCTCATCTCTCCAGTTTTGCACCACAATATCCTTGTCCATTTCCAGTCTGGGTTCAGTGCTGGTGATAGCATGGGAATCTCTCAATTGTATGTAGTTATATACTTCTCTCTTTCCGCTGTCTCTGGGACTCTCTTCGTTCTCTGTGACCTCACTGCTGCCTTAGACACTGTGGGCTACTCTGTTCTCCTGGACTACACCCATTATTATGCAGGTGTGTCGAGATCCCACCTTTATACCTGTCAACTTATTATTTCTAGGGTGCTGCCGTGACAGCTTTTCTGTGCGTAAGCCCCTGTTCTATGCAGTGCACAGCACACTGCTGACTCTTCTACCCTTTTCTATTTACCTCCTCCCACTGAGTCATCTGTTAACTGTCGCTGCTACTTTCACACTGTTCATACGTGTCAACACCTTTAACAATTTCCATCTGTCCACACTCTTTGCTTGTCTTCAAAGGAAATTTGTGGCTGCATCTCAATATTGTTGATCCAACCTCTGTACATAATCTTAGTGTGATGTCTAACCTTGAATCTTATTTCTGCAAACTTCTATGTCTGCATATCTGACTATGTTCACCTCTGTGACATTAGCCATGCATGCCTACATCTCAGTTCCACTTCTGTTGAAATCTTCATTCGTGCTTTCATCTCCTCACCTTGATTTCTCTAACACCTTCCTCAGTGGCCTCGCCAAGACCCAGCACTTGATTCGCTCATATACAGGTGCAGTTGGCCATCTTCCCACATGTACAAAGAAATATGATCCCATCAGTTGCATAAACAATCCTACTAGTCATCATTCATTTCAGGACCCAATTCAAGACTGTATTCCCTTTTCTTTTCAAACCCTCCATACATTTGCTCCAGCTAGTTTTTCCTATAGGCCACAAAAGTACTGATGTGAATCCTTTGTCTCCACATACTCTGACTATTCTCTATTCATCTAGCACTGGCATTCTCTCTTTCTTTTCACACACTCCATCTTCTCAACACTCTTCATGTGAGACCCTTCCTCTCTGCAACTCCTGTCAGCTGGAAAATCCTTCCTATATCTGCAAACATATCTCTTCCTTTGCTTAAACTCCTCAATTTCTTACCCCTTCTGCTATTAGTTTTGTTAATTTTTTAACAGAATTAGCATTTTGTAATATGTTTTGGAAAATTGCTCTACACAGCAATGTTTAAAAAAAAAAAACAACCCCATTGTGATGAGGGATAGCTCAGTGGTTTGAGCATTGGCCTGCTAACCCCAGGGTTGTGAGCTCAATCCTTGAGGGGGGCCATTTAGGGATCTGGGGCAAAAATTGGGGATTGGCCCTGCTTTGAGCAGGGGGTTGGACTAGATGACCTCCAAAGGTCCCTTCCAGCCCTGATATTCTATGTTATACAGTATTTATGTGTACTATTTTCTAATTTCCAAAAGCATTGCTTATCAGTAATTAAGAAATTGAAAGGTTTCCCTTAAATAATTAATTTGCTACTTAAAGACAGTTACTACCATTTTCACTACTACTAAATAGGCATTTATATAAATGGTGGAAAGGAAGCACATTAATCACCATGTACAGAATAATTTGGAGTTAAAAGAACAGGCATAAGAAAGGAAATTAACACTTAACATTTTGTTAATAATATAAGGAATAGCAACCTGCATGGAATTTGGAGGGAGGAGCACAGGTTGCAAGAGAGAAGAGTTTGGAGGAGGCACCAAGAAGCCAGTCACTGTGGATAAGGCTTCAATTAGGGTTGTCAGGTGTCCAGTTTTCGACGGGAATGCCTGGTTGAAAAGGAACCCTGGTGGCTCTGGTCAGCACCACTGACTGGGCTGTTAAAAGTCCGGTTGTCAGGGCTAAAGCAGGCTCCCGGAAGCAGGAGCATGTCCCCCCTCTGGCTCCTAGTCATAGGGGCAGCCAGGGGGCTCCATGCGCTGCTCCCACCCTGCCCCTTGGTCCCACCCCAGAGCACCCTCCAACACCGCAAACCCCTCATCCCCAGCCCCACCCCAGAGCCTGCACCCTTAGCTGAAGCCCTCACTCCCATCCCCCTCAGCCAGCATGGAGCCCCCTCCCGCACCCTGAACCCCTCATTTCTGCCCCACCCTGGAACCCACACCCCCAGCCCAGAGCCCGTACCTTCTCCCACACCCCAATCCCCTGCCTCAGCCCGGAGCCCCTTCCCATACTTCAAACCCCTCAGCTCCATCCCCCAGCCTGGAGTCCCCTTCTGCACTCCAAACCCCTCCTACCCCAGAGCCCTCACCCCAGTTGGAGCCCTCACCCCCTCCTGCACCCCAGCCCCCGAGCCAGCCCAGTGAAAATGAACGAGTGACTGAGGGTGAGGAGAGCAAGCGACAGAGGGAGCGGGGATGGAGTGAGCAGGAGTGTGGCCTCAGAGAAGGGGAAGGGCCTCAGAGAAGGGGAGGGGCTTTGGAAGAGGGGCGGGGCAAAGGTGTCAGTTTTGTGCAAATAGAAATTGGCAACCCTAGCTTCAAAGCTAGCTTCAGCTGCAGCATCTCTATACATAGCTCTCTTAATAAAAAGGCGTTTTAGTTTTAGAAACATGGAATCCTCTCATGTTATTACCCAGCATGCCATACAGGAAACATAAGGCCACAAATTATGGCTCAGATCCTGCAACTGATAGTGTGTGGGAGGATGCACCTATATAAAACCTCATTGCCAGCAGTAATAGCATTATATTGATGGGAGAGGAATCACAGCCATCCTAAATTCTACTTTCTGGCACTTACAATTTTTTTAGAAAAATCAAAAAATGTCCTGCTCTGACATTAATTCGGCCTATTCTCTGCTCAGTGCTGATTTTTTTAAAGTTTAGTAAAATGTAGTTTGGCTTTTTTTTTGAGTTAATCCAAATGACCTTTTTTATGCAGCAAGATCCAAATTTTGTCCTTGCATGAATACAATTTAATTTCGCTGTGAGAGAACTGACCAGGCTTTTTCATACATTTTAAAATGCCTTCACTGATAGGTACATAGAGCTGAGGGGTGGCTGTGGGATTCATTAAATGAAGGAATTGCCTGAGAAGTAAAGGATTTCAAATCTGAAAATAATAATAGTGTACCACACACGCAGCTCACACAACTTCCATTACCAACTAAGCATTCACTTGCTTTTCTTTTTTCTTAAAAGAACATGGACATTTAATGGAAAAAGCTATTAGTGAAAAGCTATTTTTGAAAAAGAAAAGAAAAAAGCTCGGAAATTAAAATTCAGTTTCATGCCACTGAAACCATCACTTAAGCTACATTATACATATACATATTTAGGCATCAATTTAACAATTTATGGAGTGAGCTGTGGCTCACGAAAGCTCATGCTCAAATAAATTGGTTAGTCTCTAAGGTGCCACAAGTACTCCTTTTCTTTTTACAAAATACTGTGGGACTGATCTTCATTTACATTAAGGCTACATCACAGTGGATATAAATTTATATTCACTCTAAGGTCCCTTTACATTGCCAGAGTGGTGCAAGGTGGCCTTAATGTAAGTGAGAATTAGGCCCTACCTATACAAAAGAGGGATGGGGTGTGATTGCTGTGTGAGCTAAGGTTTCCTGACTTTTGCACATTTAGTTTTTCAACAATTACATTGACTACTGCTTCCTGTCATTGTACTTCTAAACATTCTTTTTGAGCAGATACATTGCTCAGAAAAGCTTTTTAAACATCAAATTTGGTGCAAATCCACTGCCGGAGCAAAATTCATATTCTATGAGTATCACAGAACATCAGAGTTGGAAGGGACCTCAGGAGATCATCTAGTCCAACCCCCTGCTCAAAGCAGGACCATGACTTAGTCACAGCAAGATCTTTCTCAGCATCACTATTTTCCTTTTAATCCCCTCTAAAGCTTCTAAAATGCGATTGAAGACGTAATCATGGCTGTTGTATCT